AATGACAACGGGAACCAGGTTGTTCCTATGGTGACTGCCAATGCATCGACAAGACAAACAACACCGGAATTGGCACCGGCAGAAAAACTCGAAAATTTTTCCGGGATTGATTTCAAGCGGTGGCAGTAGAAGATGTTCTTTTACTTGACTACTTTAAGTCTACAGAAGTTCATTAAGGAAGATGTTCCTGTTCTGCCCAATGAAACTTCAGAGAATGAACGCTTTCTCGTGATTAAGGTGTGGAAGCATTCTCATTTTCTGTGCAAGAATTATATTCTTAGCGGATTAGAGGACGATTTGTATAATGTCTACAGTGGTGTGAAGACGTCAATAGAACTGTGGATTGCGCTTGAAAGGAAATACAAAACTGAAGATCCCGGGTTGAAGAAATTCGTTGCCGCTAAATTTTTGGACTATAAAATGGTAGATAGCAAGTCTGTTATTACCCAAGTCCAGAAATTGCAAGTGATTATTCACGTTCTCCTTGCTGAAGGTATAAGTAGAATTAATATTAATGTTGATAGTATTAATTTTATTATGTTTACTAACAAAATTTTCATTGAAGGTCTTACCATCAACGAAGCATTCCAAGTAGCAGCTATGATTGAGAAGTTGCCTCCTTTGTGGAAGGACTTCAAAAACTACTTGAAACACAAACGCAAGGAGATGTCGCTTGAAGATCTCATTGCTCGGTTGAGAATCGAAGAGGACAACAAAGCTGCTGAAAAGAGAGGCCGTGAAAACTCAACGATAGTGGGAGCAAACATTGTTGAGAATAATCCTCAAAATAAGAGAAAGAGGAAGCAGGCTTCTGGACCGAAAAACAATCCAAGTGTCACGACCCCAAACCATCCGGCCGTGATGGCGTCTATCGCATTACTAGACCAGCCGATTCAACACTTATAACATAAAGGTCTTTTTCTTAATTCATTTACTAATCGAAAATGATCACAAATTTGTCGTATTAATATATCAAAGAAGCGGAAACAAATAAGCAAAAACATCAATCACTGCCCGATCCCGGTGTCAGTATTCATGAGCCACTAGAATACAATCCGACACTGTCTACTCAATACAAAAGGAGTCTGATAAATAAAAATACTAGAAGATAGGAAGGAGAAAGACAGGGCTGCGGACGCCGTGCAGCTACCTTGCTATCTCCGAGAAAATACTCTGAAGGAAAAGATCAGCTCTCACTCAGATGCCCTGGCGCCTGGATCTGCACACAAGGTGCAGGGAGTAATGTGAGTACGCCAACTCAGTAAGTAACAATTATAAATAAAGGCTGAGTGCAGTGACGAGCATTTAAAATCATAAATATATCATAACATAAACATCTCAGAGGAAATAGCAAGATCAAATCAGTAGATAAATTCTGAACATCCAGTTAAAACTCCAGTTTCAATGAAAAGTCGTTAAAACATTTATTCAACATTTTCAATAGAGGCTTAGTATAAAGAAGAGTGAAATAGTATTTTCATAAAACAAGCTCCTCGGGCGAAGTATCACTCATATATATAACCCCTCGGGCACGCCTCTCAATCACTCGGGACTCAACTTTCACCAATCAACACCCACACTCAGCACTCACGTTCAATAGGTATCTCATAACAACCGCTGCGGCGTGCAGCCCGATCCATAAATATATATAGTCGACTGTGCTCACTGGGGGTGTGCAGACTCCGGAGGGGCTCCTACAACCCAAGCGCTATATCGCTGCGGCGTGCAGCCCGATCCATATATATATATATATATATATATATATATATATATATATATATATATATGGATGTATGTATATGCAGCCCGATCCATAACTATCCTCACAATCCGGCCCTCGAACTCACTCACTCATCAACCTCACAAGCCACTCGGGCATCTCAGTGCAAACTCAAGGAACTCAGCCGAAAACACTTTCATAAATATTAAAGTAGAGTGAGGAACAAGATTTAACAATAAACAGGTATAAACCATTACTGAGAATAATGCTTTCTATAAAAAACAATGTGAAGATAACAGTAAAATGCCCCTGAGGGTCCAACAGTATGGCACAAGGCCCCAAAATATGGCATTCAGGCCAAGTTAACAGAATTATTTCTAAAACACATAGATATCATATAGAGTTTATCAAAATATGCAACTCTATAGTTGCCACGGGACGGACCAAGTCACAATCCCGATGGGTGCACGCCCACACGACCGTCACCTAGCATGTGCATCACCTCATTTATCAAAATAGTACGAAATTCTGGGGTTTCATACCCTCAGGTCTAGATTTACAATCGTCACTTACCTCAAACCGGACAAAAATCTACTCCGCAATGCCCTTGCCTCTCGACTCGGCCTCAAATAGCCCTGAATCTATCCTAAATTAGAGTCATAAAATCAATACATGCCAAAGGAACAAAGCCCACGCGAAAATTATCAAATTTAATCAAAATTCCCGAAATTGGCCAAACCCGACCCCCGGGCCCACGTCTCGAAATCCGATAAAAATTACATCACTCGAAACCTGTATCCTCTCACGAGTCTATACATACCATGATCATCAAAATCGGACCTCAAATGGCCCCTCAAATCCCCAATTTAAACTCTCCAATTTCAAGCCCTAATCTCCCAAATTCTTCCCTAATTTTCCCATTAAAACCATGATTAAACAATGGAATAATTGCCACAAACACAAGATACAAGGTCCAAGTAGCTTACCTCACTGAAAACACTTAAATTCTCCCTTGAAATCGCAATCCCCAAGCTCCAACTTGGCCAAAAATGGTGGATAAAATACTGAAATTCGCGAAGTGATGCTTATATAGTTTCTGCCCAGCGATTTTCGCACCTGCGGTCTCCAAGTCGCTTCTGCGACGCCGCACCTATGGAAAAACCATAGCAGGTGCGGTTTTCACTTAAACCTTGAAAATACCGCTTCTGCGGTCCATACCCGCATTTGCGGTCCCGCAGGTGCGGTCCTTAGTGCGCACATGCAGCCTTGCCTGAGTTCCCAATCTTCCGCATCTGCGGCATTGCTCACGCACCTGCGGCCTCGCACCTGCGGTTCCCAATCCGCAGGTGCGGATATGACAGAAGCAGCAGCTTCAGCTGCTCAAATTCAAGTCCAATCTTTCCGACAACCTTCCGAATTCATCCCGAGGCCCACGGACCCCAACCAAAAATACCAACAAGTCACATATCATCATTCAAACTTATACCAACCTTCAGAACACTCAAAACAACATCGAACACCAAATCACCCTCGGATTCAAGCCTAAGAATTCCAAAACTTCCGAATTCTGCAAACGATGTAAAAACCTATCAAACCTCATACGAATGACCTGAAATTTTGCACACACGTCACAAATGACTACGTAAAGTCAAGTGATAATGTGTCGGATCCACTAACAAAAGGCCTAACTAGAGAGGTAGTTGAGAAATCATCAAGGGGAATGGGACTATGGCCGAGAACAAGTCATAGTGGAGGTAACTCTACCTAGAAGACTGGAGATCCCAAGATCTAGGTTCAAGGAGGTCAAACAAAGTCATTAATGACGGTTCAACATTGTCAACTAAAATTTTGGTTCATTCTCGTGATGAGACGATGTTAAGTACCAAGGATAAAGCATTAAGGCTTTTTAATAATTTCTAAATTTGATACGGGGTATATCAAATAGTGTAACTACAGGATGACACGTTTAGGAATCACCTATGTAAGTATGAAGTATTAGCCGCTTCAAGGAGAATTTTGTAAGGCCATTTCTCTACGCACTTATAAAACCAAACGGTGTTCATGGCTAAAACGAACACAACAATGAGAACCAAAGACGGTTAAGGGTTGGTTGTTTGACTTATGGTTATCTAGGTATACACCAAAGTTCGACGGCTCGAGGATATCAAGTCTACCGATTGACAGAGTATATCCGACATAAGTTCACTACGGAAAGTTCAAAGGGAAGCCTACTTATCCAGATACAATTAATCCTTGCTTGCGAATCACACAGTTTTTCATGCCTATTTCCGTGATATAGCCATTCCCCATTCATGTGGGGGATTGTTGAGTTTTTAAGCTAAAATAGGCTTAAAAGAGGGTGAATGGAAAATGAATGGAAAATGAAATATTTGAGTTTCATTTGAGATTCCCTCATTGACAAAGGGACATTGTCTCATATTGGAAGAGGAAAAGGTTTTTGATAGGTATATATATAATTGCTCTTCTTCTAGCTCTTAAAGAGTTAAGAAGAAGGCAATCCTCGCGCCGTTGTCGTCGCTCGCTCGCTCGGCTCGACTTCGTCTTCGGTTTCGGATTCGGATTCGGACTCGGATTCGGATTAATAGTAAATATTAACAGAAATATTATTAAACACAACAAATATTAATATTAAATCCAACGGAATATTAATCGTTATCCGTTTTCTGTTTTCCATTTTCCATTTTTGTAACGGAAAAGTTAAGGTTCCTCTTCAATTGTTTATTGTTGTGTAAATAGCCATTTATTTTTTTGGCATTTATGTTATGGCTGTTTTACATAAACAACCCTTCTGAAGAGTTGTACCTCTTCAGTTAGAGCTCAATATTGACTATAAATACCAGTCCATTCTCTCAGATTTTCATACGATTTTCTGAGTTCTCCTCATTTCTTCTGCATTGTTTTAACTTCAAAGAAAGCAACAGTAAGTGTGATTTGCTACCGAACTTTGTGTTCGCTGAAATACTGGGGTTTGAAGTACCACTAAACCAGTGTGTAATTCATTCTATCTTGAGAGGAAATAATCCACAACCTTGGGTACTAAGAGGGGGTTAAATTCTTTAAGAAAATACGGTGAATTCAGTGGGCTCGGATTAACTTCTGTTTCGTTTATATTTCTGTTTATATGTTATTTTATTTTCTCCAAAATTATTTTACAAATACAGTTTACTAACAAAGACAAGAAGAACTTGAGGACCATATGGTTCAAACCCAACCCATCTGATCAGCCTATCACTCCAATTCTTTGCCAGAATAATTGGCTTTGGCTTGGTGCTATCATATCATATTCCTTCATCATTTTCTTGATTTCTTTGGGGGCTTTGAATAGATATTACATCTATCCAATTGATAAAAATACCAATGACATCTACTCTTATCCGATAAAGGCGGTGTTGAATATGCTTCTCATTTGCATTTCCATAGTCATCACAAGTACTGCAGCATTTGTGTGTAACAAGAGACGCAGTGGCATAGACGCCAAACAAATTCAGAACATGGAAAGTGCAACTCCAACGTCTTCACCTAATTCTTTGTTCTATAATGCATAGAGGTAAAATGGAGAGGTTGCCCCAACAATCACTTCTTCAGTCAACTAATCTCCATTTTGATGAAAGGCCTCCTTAAAAGTAAGTTCATCCAAAAAATATACTGAATAAAGTATCCCCAGATATCAATGGTCATATATCAAGTTTATATAGTAATATGAAAAATAGAATAATAACCTATTTTAATCAGTTAAATTAATCTAATGGCTGGCGTACAATTTTTTCTTTGCTTTTAGTGTCTGTAACTTAAATCCCAAGATCATTTAGCTATAGGATCAATCAAATTACCTAATTTTTACTAATTAATTGAACTACTGGAGACTCTTACCTGCTACAATTTGAACAACTCTCCTTTAAAAATCTTGTAAATTTGATGCAGGGATTCTTTTTGAGAGGAAAGAATCAAGTGTTGGAGTTCTAGTGTATGGTCCAAAGAAGATGAGACATGAAGTTGCAAACATTTGTTCCTCTAGTTTAGCTTCCAACCTTCATTTTGAGTCCATCAGCTTCAATTGGTGATTTCTCTTATAATTTCAACATAGTCCATAGAATGGCAAAATATTCATCCTTCCCTATCCTTGCCCCCACCCCTACACAAATCGAAAATAAGATAATTTTTGTTGTTATGGTTATGTTCATGTTGATTGAATTTTTCCAAGTGCTCCTGTAACATGTTCCTTTTATTGTGAAATGTAAAAAGTACTAATTTTCTGTTTTAATTGTTGTTCTAATTAATGGCCGGTATGATGAGATGTTCGCGTAAAGATATTAAACTTGAAGCAAGGAATTGAAGTCTATGAGTTTTAAAACAAACTCAAATCAATATATCATAATAATCAGATTAACGAATGAGTAGTGATATTTTGTATGTATTTAAAAAAATAATGAACCAATATATGAATATAAACACATTACTATTAGTTTGTCTATAGTCATTTATTATGTTGTTTTTAGAAAGACAAAAACAGAAATAGAATTAAGTGTAGCTAGTAGGACCAGTTTTGTGATAAAAATAAAAGGAAAAGGTCAAACGTGCTTGAACGGATTCGAACTCGCATCAGAGAAGTGAGAAACCTAGGTTCCACATGAGCAAAAAACCAAGAACAGAACTGAGTTCCCATCTAAATCTTTGAATTTTATACATCTAATAAATTTCTTAATACAAATACCGAATTTAAACAAAAATTATTGAGTTTCGAGGAATCCATACTCGATGATGTGGATCCGCCCCTGTTGGTTGATAAAATTAAAATAGGAAACTTAACAAAAATGAAAGAAATTTATGTTGTTGGATTTTTAGTTTTTGAAAGTTGCTAGAGGAATGTAGGCAGGAAATGAACAAAATAACATAACGTCTTAAGAATTTTGCTAAGAGTGTTCAAGAGTTTTAAAATTTAATATATAAAAAATGATTTTAACTTATACACACTACTATAATTTTTCAGCAATAAATATTTGGTTTGATTTGATTTGATTTATGGGGAAGAACATGATGCTGGTGGGCCATTCACATATTTTTTTGTTTATCAATAAAAACTTAACCATAATAATAATAGAGAACTAATAAAATAAAAAACATCTCATCCGTTAAAAATTAACAAGGACACATGTTAGTTATTCAAAGCTATATTGACATCTAATGGAGCAAATTGTAATGGAGCGGAGCCGCTCCCTTATTTTAACATGTTATAACTTCGACCGATGGTTCTTATATATTTTCTATTATAATAGTACATGTGATAAATAATATAATAGTGGTATATATAAAGTATAAAATACACAATTTTAAAGAATATGTATGGTATATTTTGTATGTTTACATGTATTATGATGTATATATATAATTTATATATGTGGTATAAAATACATATAAAAAAATATGCGGTATATTGATGGAAGGTGAGCAAAAAATTTACCATCCATGTTTTGTTAGTTTTAAGGGTATATGTGAACCAAAAATAAAATGTTAAAGGTATATACAACAACAATAACAACCCAGTAAAATCCCTCAAGTCAGATGGTTCGGACATGTACAGAGGAGAAGCCCAGATGCTCCAGTAAGGATGTGTGAGCGACTAGTTGTGGAGGGCACGAGAAGAGGTAGAGGGCGGCCTAAGAAGTATTGGGGAGAAGTGATCAGGCAGGATATGGCGAGGCTTCAAATTTTCGAGGACATGACACTTGATAGGAAGTTATGGAGGTCGAGTATTACGGTTGTAGGCTAGGAGGTAGCTGAGTCTTGCGTTACCTTGTACTGTTGTGAGCCTAGTCTGGTAGGGTTTTTGTCTGAAATAGCTAGGGGCATTGTCGTGTCTTACTATTTTCGCTTTTCGGTGCAAGACCTATTTACTAGACATCATTTTTGTTTTGCATTTTTCCTTCTGCATTTTATGTTCCTATTTTTCATATGATCTCGGTGGTGAAGCTAATATTCTCTCCTTTTTGTTTTTGTTTTTGTTTTTCTTATTATCTTGAGCCGAGGGTCTTCCGGAAACAGCCTTTCTACTCATTCGGGGTAGGGGTAAGGTCTGCGTATATTAGGAGCCAAAATAAAACGTTAAGGGTATTTTTAGACCAAAAGGTTAACGGAGGATATTTTTGAGCCATTTTCAATACGTTAGGGGTATTTTTGGCCCTTCCCCCTTTAAGATATAGTATTGTTAGACTTCAAAGTCGCATGATAGAGAAAGAAAGAAAACGAAGTTTCCTAATTGTCTCATAGGCTCTCGAAAATAAGTATAGACACCTTCATGACCATCAACAAGACTCTACTAGATATGTTCATGACTCGTGAGACTTCTGCAACCTAAACTCTAATATCTAGCTATCATGACCCAAAACACATTAATGGCCTAACGCGCCGGCCAAGCGAACCAACAATTTTGATTTAAAAAAAGTGCAAACCATCAAATGTTCAGGTGGTTTCGCAGTTTTCTTATTTTTTCCTAGCATATGAACCGATTTTTGTACTACCATATAGTCCTCAAATATCTCTGATTTGATCAAAATGATACCGTTGCCCCTACTGAAAAACCAACAGTAAATGATCCACGACACGAGCCAACCACGTTACTAGGAAATTATCTAGCGATTGTGAATTCGCCACGTCATCCAAATCCTACTCAGACCCCAATTCATCCACGGCAAACCTTATTCATCGACGAAAGAAAATTACAACCCCAAACTCCATTTTTAACATACCCAAACTACCCTTACCACATCCACCTATTTCCAGCCACAAACCCTCTCAATGGCGGTTAAAGCACCTATAAAATTACATGCCCATTTCCGTCATTTTATTTTCATTCACGTAACCCGAGAAAAACCCGAACCCTCCAATCATATATTCTTCTGAACAAAAAATTTCTCCCATTCCCCTTTGTCTGTAACAATTTATCCAATCTCTTCGTCTTTGGTTTTCCCTAGGTGACTTAACTCATTCAATGGCGACCGGTTTAATCCGACGAGCGATTTCTAGGGTCCACTCATCGCCGGCGGCGAAGCTAGTTGTCGCCCGAGCACACGCATCGGAGGCCAAAGCCCATCAATCAGAATCCAAGCAGCAGCCAAACATCAAGTCATTTCAAATTTACCGATGGAGTCCAGACAACCCAGGTAAACCCGAGCTCAAGGAATACAAAATCGATCTGAAAGAATGTGGCCCAATGGTCTTAGATGCTTTAATTAAAATCAAAAACGAAATCGACCCATCACTTACGTTTCGTAGATCCTGTAGAGAAGGGATCTGTGGGTCCTGTGCTATGAATATTGATGGTTGCAATGGACTTGCTTGTTTGACTAAGATCGATTCGGGTGCTGAATCGACGATTACGCCGTTGCCACATATGTTTGTGATTAAGGATCTGGTTGTGGATATGACTAATTTTTATAATCAGTACAAGTCTATTGAGCCTTGGTTGAAGAGGAAGACGGAGCCGCCGACCCCTGGGAAGGAGATACCGCAGAGTAAGAGTGATAGGGCAAAGTTGGATGGGATGTATGAGTGTATTCTGTGTGCTTGCTGTAGCACATCATGCCCTAGTTACTGGTGGAATCCTGAGTCTTATCTTGGTCCGGCTGCACTGCTTCACGCTAACCGGTAATATTCTTTTGATTCTTTGTTCCTCTGAATTTTTGTCTTCATGTCTAGGCTCTTTCTTGTTTGCCTTTACTCTCTGTTGATGCGCTGTATTTGGCTCAAATATGAAGTTAAAGATAGTTATAGCTAATAAAGATTGTAACTTGGTGGGTTCCTATCTGCCTAAGCCTTTGGGGTAGAGTTATTAGGTATTTGTGCTGATGGGATGTAACTTGTCCCCTTTTCTCGGTGGACTATTTGAGTTGTGCGCAAGCCAGCACCGACACCTCCATTGTTAAAAAAGAACTATAGATTATAACTAGGTGATTTCTTTCCATATGCCCTAGTTTTGGTGGGTGGAGTTATCCAATGAAATAGTAAGGGTTGCTCAAGTTGGCTTGGACACCATTGTCATAAAAAACAGGCTGACTACAGAACGTTTTACTCCCTCCATTTCAATTTTATGTGTGTTACTTTTTTTGGACTATTATAAAAAGATATTATCTTTCTATATTTAATAAGTTTTTAATTCCAACAATTCTATTTTACATGTAAGGGCACTCTTATAGGAGTGACATGACATGCTTAAGACCATAAAATTCAAATAGTATTTTTGGTATTGTTGTACACACCCTTAGTTTTAGGTCACAGGATTCAAAAGCTTTCTTTACATTCTTATATTTCATGTACAATTAAACTAAGACATAAAACAAAATAGAGTGAGTATTTGATTTAGAAAGTAGTGTTCCTTTTAGGTATGAAATGAATGAATCTCTTTTCTATGAGGCATATTTGGTAAAACACTATGCAACTTTTAGAAGTTTGATGGATCATATGCTGAAGGATCTTATTGTATGGTAAAACCATGCAACTTCCATGGATGTTCAGTCATTGGATCTTATTCTGAAGTATCTTATCATTAGACAATTTTGAAACATTGATTTTCTGAACTTCTAATACTTCTTATTTGGCAAGAGATTAGTTTAAATGGAGTAATGTGTTCAGTGAGCATTTAAATGAGTATCTCGGCTCTCATATTAGCTAGTAAGGTTCTAAGAAACTAGTAAGTGTTTAGAAGTCCTTTATTATTCTAAGTGTGGACAATTCTGTTGAGGATGGGAGATGTTGAAAGCATGTGCTGGCATGGGCGGATTTATAGGGTAGTTTATGGGGCACGTAAACCCATGGTCTCTCCGCCAAACTAGGTGTTTTATGTATGTATTTTCTTGAATTAGTCTAATATTATTTATTGGCAGCCATGCTCCACAAAGGTTGAATGGTGCAGGTGGTTGAATACTGAGTTATTTATCCAAAGGAACACAGATTGATTCACACTTAATACTTCTTTTCCTCCTTTTCTTAGTGGTGCACCCATGCTCTAGAAATCTTAGATCCACCAATGCAGGGCTTTTCGCCACTCAAAAAATGATGAAAAACTAATGAAGGGGCCTTTTCCTATTAAGTTCTTGAGGGGAATGTATTATGTCAAGTGTAATATTATGGGGAATGTTATTAAACCTTAGGCCAAACTCAAGCAATGCAATTTTATGATTTAAGCGTCCTGAGATGTACCATTCTTTACTTGGGCCATTTGCATGATGAGGGAATAACAGATTTGGATGTCTGCCATGTTGGTAGCCTTGATTCTGTTACTGTCTATAAGTAGTTCTACAACATTAACCCCACTGTCATTGGTGTGCCATATATGCTGCCTATTATTATCTTTACTGAAAAGTGTTTTTTTCTTCCCATACTTGCAATATATTTAACAGAGGTTTATGTCTTATTTTTGAAATGTAGATGGATTATGGATAGCCGTGATGAATATACTCAGGAGCGCCTGGACGCAGTTAATGATGAATTCAAGCTTTATCGCTGTCATACTATTCTGAACTGTTCTCGTGCTTGCCCAAAGGGATTGAATCCTGGGAAGCATATTCAGAATATCAAGCGTCTGGAGCTTGCATCTTGAGCCAGCAGTGACGTCGTTCCAAGCTCTTTTGCTAAGATTTGAATTTGAAGGACCAGTAGGAGGTTGTTTCTCAAAATAATATATGCACAGATTGTAATTTGCTCTGTGAGATCTTTTTTATACTTGAATTTAAGATGAAAGGTGCATCTCTCTTAAATATAATACAGTATCATTTTCAAGTACATTGCTCCATAATGCCTGAAATGTGTGTGTTTCCTTTTATAAGTTTTGTATAGACCTGGCTATATTTTTTCAAGGATGGTTGTTTGGGATGTCTATTGGTTGTTTTTCCTTGACGATGTTCAAAGTTAAGATGAGCATTAGATGTGGTATTAGGTAGTTGTCATACTTGGATCTGTATGATGTTGATGCAATTCAACTTCTATTGAGAGTAATTGAGAGTGTCTTACAAGTTTCTTTTCTTCTTTGGGTTTGCAGACGGGAGAAGGAAAGAGATGTAGGAAACTAACTCTCTTAACCTACTTATTGGCAGGGAAATTTTGCATTCGATTATGTTTATTTCTGAAGCCAAATTGAAAAAAATATTTTCCATGTGAAGTTCGTTTTACCTTGAGATTTAAAGATTGCAGTAATGTCTAAATTTTGATAGAACCAAGGTAAAGTCATTGAAAAATAGCTAGCGTTTGCAAAGTCATTGAAAAATAGCCATTATTTTGCTGCAACACGGAAAGTTCCAGCATAATATACTGGAGACCGGTGCACCTGTGTATGAACTTTTTGCGTGTTAGAGTTCCAATATAATTATACTGGAGTTCCAGCATAATTATACCGGTGCTCCAATCTCCAGTATATTATACTGGAACTTTCTGCGTGGTGGAGTTCCAGTATAATATACTGGAGTATTTTTTCGGATTTAGTGTTTTCTTTCAGATTTATCTTTACATGAAAAGTGGCTAAATTTCGATTACTTTTGAAACTGTGGCTATTTTTGAATGACCACTTGTAAATCTAGCTATTTTTTAATTTCTCCCGGAAGCAAGTGATATGGAGTAAAGAGTTTGGATTATTTGTGATGCTGAGATAAGTCTGTGAAGTGTGACGATTTGATTAAAAATTCGAGTGAATATTCAAAACTAGTACAAGGTATTTCATATATTTGCACAATATTCATATTATCTCCTAGATAACCATTGGCCATATACTGTAGTTTTTATCTTCACGAGGTTTGCTCGAGGAAAAGACTTAGAAAATCTCTTAACTATGCCTGTAGGATTATTTTTATCCTTTATCTATACTATTGAATATAAAATATCCCTTATCTTTGTAAAAGTGTACAATTTTAATCTACTCCGTAACAGAGTTTGCAAAACTAACGGATATCAGCATTTGTTTAGGTTAAAAATAACAGAGTTTTAACCCATCCAAACCCAATTAAAAATAACGAACTCTCTCTCTTTCTCTTCAACCGTCGACCCCTCTTCCCCCAAGAGTGAGCAGCTTCTTTCTTTGCTACTGCTGCCATACCACAAAGAAGTCCAATAGCTGCGCTTACTTCTTCCTTCAACCCTGAAAAGAGCATATGCATCCCGGGATTCTCTCCATCTCAGAAGTGGATTCCCCTGCAAGGGTACTTGAGTACGACTACGGCTATGAAAAGCTTATCGAAAGAGGAGGAAAGAGCGTAAACTCGACTCTAAAAGACTTTATAGAGCGTTTAGCGGCTGTGGTATCAGATGAAAAAGAAATTCGAACTGTCTATTTCCATAACTTTTCACGATACGATAGCATTATAGTAACGAGAGCTTTTACTTCTCAGATCGGCAAGTACTCCTTTGGATTCCCTATCATACTGGACCTCCTTTCTCCCAAAATTCCTACAAATCCCACCTCTATATAATGTTGAAGATAGGATCCCTATTCAGCGAGTCGTGAAAGGAAATCAAATTTCGATTGAAGAGAAATTGTTTCGAGCCCTAATTGAAGAAGTAAAATGCAGAGTGGAAGTTCATTAATGTTGCCATGAGTATTGATCTAGAGTGGAAGTTGGTAAGTTGTTGAGTAAGCTCACATAGTCGGAGTTTTTTGTTCAAATAATAATGCTAAATTCGAGATTTACTTTTAACCATGTTCCTCTGCCATTTTTGGTTCTGCAGAATTCAGCCGGGCTAACCGTTCTTGGAGGAGCGAGTGTGGCGTGTGCTAAAGCAGTTGAGTCGGATTCAAATAACTCGGCTTATGAGAATCACGTAACTGCTATGGCTAATGAAAATTTGGCCACAAGAATCATTGCATGTGTGCCGTCTTTGGTAGAAGCTGGTGCTTCTCCTAAGCTCACAATAAGGAGTTAGCAGCAGTTGTTCTGTTGCATTAAAGGCCAGATGAAGGTGGTATTAAGCTGAACAATATTAGTATTATTGTTTGATTAGCAGGTCTCAGGAGCTCTTCAGTTGCCTCTGTTATTGTAATTTTAGTCAATTCCATTTCTCTAGGCCTTTTTCCCCTTTTGTCCTGTATCATTTGCCCTTTACATAAGGTGCAGTATAGTTGATTGTCATTTTTATGAATTAAAAAATCAACCTGGACTTTGTATCTAGCTAATCGTCATTTTCAATTTGGTTCATTTAATTTGAGTTATATAGTTCATCTTCCATGTTAAGGATAAAAGGGACCACTCAATTAAGTTTTCGACATTCTTATCCCAGTCGCTAGTAGATTGTCGTATTATCTTGTCTCACCCTTTTCCTTTTATACATGGTTCTGAAGATGGAACTTGAAAAGTAACAGCACTGAGGTTCAACGAAAGGTATTTATTCTTTGGGGGCAGTGGAATTCAGTTAGATGCAAATTAAGATAGATTCGTTTTTCCCGGAAGGAACATCACATTCTATGCAACAAGAGATTTTATTAAGAAAGTTGAGCAATAACTAATCCCCTTTGTTCAATAGTTGATACTCTGAGAGAAGAAACTAGCAGTCTAGCAAATGATTGTATACTCATGTAAGTTACATAAAATATCACCCCTTCTGTATTTTCAAGATAATGAACTGACTTTTGAGTCGAATTCATTGGCCCAATGCAATATATTGGAAATTTAGAAAAAAGCGCGATCTTGATTATACCCAGCTTGGAGTCTAGTTGATTTTCAGTCTTCTAAAATGCTCCTGGAACCAGCGAGGGGACATTGTTATCATGGGAAGAACCCTGTGATCTTGAAATTCATTTATGTGCTCTTTACCTTGTATGGAAGAAAAAATAGCTCAGTACCAAACACGACTAGAGTGGATATGAAAATTTCTAAAAATATTCAGCACACTTACCATGGGAACAACGATGTCTTCCAAGAACCAGTATTTCTTGGAAGAAGGAAAATAAGTAAATGAATATGAAAAATTCTGCAAAAAGGAGAAATTCTGCTCCATTGCGAACCTAACCACGGACTGCAACTTAAAAATTTCTGCAATAAAAAAATTTCTGCAAATCTGAAAATTTTTGCAATAAGAAAAAATTTCTGCAATTTGTAATCAGTTCTAAAATTACATGATGCATTAAAGTATTGAAACATAGTTATAGCAATTTGCTCAAAACATGAACTACATATTGTATATGACTAGAAACAACAAAAAATATGACTAAACAGCATCCATGCTTCAAAATCTTCGACGATTCCTAAACAGCAGCAAATGTGACTAGAACAATGTCCACGACACAGCATCTAAGAATTCCAACAGTAGAATGTCTTCAATAGTAGTGAGAACTACCCTGTTCTACTTCTCCTGTTCTAACCTACAAAATACAGAAATATGGTTTAATGTGTAACATGTAAATGGAACTTATTTGAGTAGTTTTAACAGTTTCATATTCTATTCAGCTTCCCAAAAGAAAAAATAGCAGCAACCGTGAGTTAAATGCCATCCAAAAATAGCAGCAAAAGTAATTCAGAGAGCATCCAACTTTTACCTCATTTAATTCTCCTCTTCTAACCTACAAAATAGAGAAAACATGGTTTAACTTTTAACTTGTAAATAGAAAGGCGACTTAAAAATTACATCAGATTCAAATATTATACCGGCAATTTTTCAGGATGTGATGATGTAGTTGATTGCCACAAGACTGGTTCATTTAGGTAAGTTTCTGTCTCCACATAGCTAAACTTGCAAGTTCTCTTATTGTGACCAGGCTTATGACAAATGCTACATTCAATAGTTGTTTGCTTCCTCTTCATCCTTGTTCTGCTCGCTCCAGCTTCACCAAATACCTTTTTCCTCAATTTTTGCTTTCTTCCTCTCTTCTGTTTCACATTCTTTGGAGGCAAAGGAGGAATCTTACAAGATTTAGGCCACAACTGTGACCCATTAATTGGAAGAATAGCATATTCATAAATTCTCCTATATGTTTCCACCATGTAGTAGTCATCGACGTATTTAATTACCTCATCATTTTTAGCCCAAATTGCTGAAATGGCATGCTTGCAAGGATATCCTGTTATCGTCCACTTCCTACAACTACATGTTTTGTTATGTAGGTCCACTGCCCAATTATCATCCATGCTCTCTCCAAGGATTTCATAATTCCACTTATTTGATCTTTGAGGAATAAACGCAGCTGCTGCCGCCTCATTTTTGTGTAAAATATCCTTGATTCTAGGGCAAACATCACCCAAATTCCATTTTTCTCCTTTATCCCTGTTAGCTTGTATCCGAGCCATCAATATGTATCTTAATTTCTCTAACAATGTTATAATGGGCTTGTCTCGGGCCTCAAGTATCATGCTATTAAAGGATTCACACATGTTATTCAACAAGATATCACACTTAGCATTTGGATTGAAGTGAGATCTAGACCATTCACTTGGTGGTTTGTCATTTAACCAAGAAACAACATCTGCATCTAAATTTAAAAGGTCAGACATGCGATCATGAAAGAACTTCACCGTCGTAGACTTTGCAGCAGCCCAAAGTGCATTCCTTAAGGAGAAACCACTAAAGCAAGCCCTCCTAAAATTGCCATAGAGGTGTCTCACGCAGAATCTATGACTGACGAATGGCAACACATCGTTAAATGCTTCAAGAAGACCTTCAATAAAAAAAGATCATATTTTTTAGTAAGAGTTTCAAACTAAAATGTTGAAGCAAGCAAAACTTGAATATAAAAGCAACTCAAATCCAATAACCTGAATATAAATGCTTCAAGAAGACCTTTTTGCTTATCTGACATGAAAGTCCAACCACCATGATCATCAATATCCAAATCAATAGACAAGTAGTTCAAAAACCATGACCACGTATCCCGTGTTTCCTTTTCAACAACTGCATATGCGATTGGGAATATGTTATTATTAGCATCAAGCCCAACTGCTGTTAACAATTGAGTTCCATACATCGGGCCCTTTAACCAACAACCATCTACACCAACTATCTTTCTACAACCGGCCTTGAAGCCTTCCTTACAAGCAGCAAAGCATATATAAATTCTCTGAAATATATATGGCTTGTTAGCTATTTCATTTTCTGTTAATTTCACATGAATCGAACTACCTGGATTTGTCCTTTCAAGCTCATCGATGTAGTCCCACAACATAGCAAATTGATCTTTAATATCACCATCAAGCAACGCGATGGCCTTTCTTTTAGCCCTTCTAGCTTGAGGTAAACTAATATGAGCTTTAAGTTGCCGACTAATTGTATCTCTGAATTTAGAAACTTTCAGATCCCTGTTTGAACTGATGGTATCCAGATATCTCCTTGCAATAAAAGAAGATGTGATCGTCTTATTACGATGATACCAATTTTTACAACTATGCTCAGGGTTGTAAGTTTTTATTTGAAATCCCTTGTCCCTGTGCATTCTTGATGCCATAATTTTCCACTCACAAGTCGGATACATGCACTTACCTCTTATTCTTATCTTGTCATTTTTGCACCACTTGATATACTTTCCAGCTTGTATTTCGTGAGTTTCCACGGCATACTTAAACTCGTTTTTGTTTCCAAATGTATATTCAAGAGCAAGTACAGGATTCTTCTCATCAGTTTTAGGATTGTACTTAGGAAAATCAAAACTCTCATTGTCTGAATCACTATCCAAGCTTAAAGTGTCCGAAGAATTCACGCAATCAGAATCCCCTTCTTCATTTGACAACTTCTTTTGAACCTCGGCACTAAAACCTTCAACGCGTTGTTTTCCAGTAACTCCCTTATCAAGCATTGGATTGAAATCTGATAGTTCATTTTCAGAATCATCAAACTCGTCACTACTAGACGAGTTTGACGTTTCGACCAGTTTCTCAGTAATTCCAACATTTTGTTGCATATTTTCAATGTTGATTGTTTGATCTTCATTCTCAAGTTCTATCTCTGTCATTTCAAAGTAATAGTCCAGATGCTCAAAATATATCTCAACTATATTATCTTTGGGAATTGATTCGGCAATTCTGCTAGCTTCAACTTCAGTTGATACTAGTCTCAATATGTTACCAAACTTACCACATTTGTGCCAGAATATGACTGAATCATTGACGTAACCACAAATCTCGGCCATCTTCCTCAACTCTGTCATATTAAGATCTGTTGGTTTCACATAGTCAAAGTAGTCGACCACACCTCTAACATAGTGTTTAGTTGGCCGATGCTTCATCAAACCCCTATGATATACCTTAATGCTGAAACATGACGCCGCAATTACAGAGTCTGTCAAGAATAAAAACCATATTTTTAATAGGAGTTCAAACCAAAATACTTTGAAGCAAGCAGAACTGAATATAAAAGCAACTCAAAAAATAAACAAAGAAGTTCTAATTATACTTTTGTAAAGGCAAGCAGAAACAAAATTAAAAGCAACTTATAATCTAACAAGATTTAGTTTCCTATGTAGAAATAAGATTAAAAAAATATAAAGTACCCAAATATAGCCTACTTTGATACGAATTAACAAACAAAAACAAGAATCAGGGTAAAAACTTATAAAGCAAAGATTCTGAAAATTAGTTGGTAAAAATAGATTCTCACCATAAGATGGGCTTGCTTCTATTGCACAGTTCCTCTTGATGTACATGGATGGTGATGGAGAATAAAGATAGACAATGGAAGAGTTTTAATTTTAGAAGAATGATTCTGGCGCCAAAGCAAAGTGAAGAACAATGTTGGCGCCAAAGCAAAGAGAAGGAACTAGGGATTTTCCCTTCTCCCGCATTGTTTTCTGTTTTTAGTTTAACAGCGTTTATTTTAACTCTATTTAAGATTTTTCAGTTAGTTTTTTAACCTTTGTTAAGGGCTAGACTATATTTGTCCACTTTTACAAAGATAAGGGATATTTTACATTTAGTAATACAGATAAGGGACAAAAATACTCTCATAGGCATATTTAAAGGACTACCTAAGTCTTTTCCTCAGGTTTGCTCAAACTCCTAAACTAGAATATTAATATAGAGATCCTATTCCTATATAATTAGAACCAATATCAGATGCTATGTTGTGTAAGAAGAAGAATGAAGTTGTTAGTAGTAGCTAGCTTTCTGGTGTATATGGTGATTATTCAGAATATGAGTAAAGTTGGAACAAGCACTCGCCTTCCCTTTCTAATAAATCCTAAAACTGTGGAACCCTATCAATACATCACAGTAACAGGTTACTCAAAACAACCCATTTCTGCATTACAATCCTTTCATATTTTACCATTAGGTGGATAATAAACTAACAATCTTGCAACATTTTTCTTCTACTAATAGGTTGTAACAACAACTGCGACATAGCCTGTTGCTATTGTGATATCACAAAGCAGCCACCTCTCTGCGTCCAGTGCTGAGGGCATTCGTCTGTCATTCCAATTCATTGGCAATTGGGATTCTTTTGTTAGAGAGCATGAAGCACTTGAAGCTGGGCCTTGCTTGGCAGCATAATCTAGACCAAGAGGCAAGACTTGTCCGATTGTAAACTTCAAAATCGTTAAATGAGGAGGCATTATGGATTTCAAATCTGTTTCTCAAAATATAAGAAAGAAAGTCATAAAATCGCTTAATATCCATACAAGGACCAGCTACTCCAACCTTCATCACAATATAATAGGCATTACGCTATCTCATACCTTCGAAAAACAGAGAAAAAAAGACTGGGACTTTCGAGCTAAATTATGCTTGCTCCTCAAAATTGAAGGGTAGTCCAAGTTCAAAGAAGAGTATTTGATTTCAGAGTAGGCTCATTATTCATAAAAATCTGGTAATTTCCAGCAGGCCACCTTTAGTCCTTGTAAAAGCAGCAAGTTTGATACAACTCACTCACATATTGACTTCACCTCATTGGCCACTTCCAACTTTTTGAGTTCATAGGAAATGCTATTGGTATTGAGCTGAAGTACTAAAGAGACACAATAAGGTAAAACTCACAAAATGAGTACCATATCTATACTCTCCTCGTAAGTCCAAGAAACACCACAGCTGAAGCAATCTGAACTTATAAATCTGCAATATCAACATCATGGCCGCCTTCAACGAGATCCCAACTGTCAACCTGGAAAAAGCCAAAGAAAAGTCAGCACTTAAACTTGAGGAACAACTCTGGGTAAATGATGGACCACAGTCCAGGCGGTTAATGTATTTTAGGATACACGAGTCCTAGAAAAGATAATGAAGGAAAATTGACTGTAGTACAAACCTGCAAATCTTCCTCGAGCCTAATCAACTCAATAGCCTCTTCAATCCCCAATCTACCACGGAAAAGTCCAAGTGCAATGACTAGCGAATGTGCAGCTGAAGCAATTGCATCAATTGTCGCTAATTCACAATCATCCATTTTCTTGAGAAGGCTTTCAATGGCACTAACAAGACCATCGTCTTGCTTGCCACCAAAAAAACTGGTATATACGGCTGTCTTGAAGCCAAATTCTGACTCTACCCACTTAAGAAGAGGATCGATTTTCTCCACTTGACGCTCTGTGAATTTCAAATTGTCAGATTAATATGCAAAAAGTACTAATATTATGAAACCCAAATGAATTGCCAACACAAACAACAGAGAATTGTAGGCCTGCCGGTAAGCATTTAGCATACTACAAGAGCGGATCACATTTATGCTCAGAATCTGGAGACAACTCTTCAAGATCTCGTGATAATACACAGTGCAAAAAATAATTAATTGTAGGTGCTTTACAGCTAGCCAAATAGATGGAACTTTTGAGCGCTAAGCTTATCCCTAAAGAAGGACCTAACAATATTACAAGATCCTAGGATCACTTTAATATGTAATATGCTCCACTAAATACTACAGTAGTTTGTTTTAGTTCGTCCCAGGAATCAAAAAGGGACTTCACGGTTTTCAAATACAACAAGGGACTAGAATAGACGGTTATCATCACGGGTGCTGATACTTGTGCTCCGAGAAGTTAGTTCTTGTGGTCCGTCAACACCGAAATACAGCACGCCTTTTACCAACATTGAAAAGTACACGGCAATCAAATTATGTTTTATTCGTTATCTGTTTTGGGACCAGTGTCACAACCCAAAACCATCAATTCCTCCTCCAATATGAAAGCTGTGGTGAAATCCCATACCCCCCCCCCCAACCACCCCCACCCCCAACAACAACAATCAAATCCCTAGTCCCTCTCCTCCTTCTCCTTCGTTACAGCCCTTCCCTCGGCACCTTTCCACACCTCTGACCAATGGATCCTATTAGGTCTCCATTCTTTGCACATTAGACTCAGATCCTTTTAAAGTCAAAATGGCATTGGAGCACAACCCTAGTCCAACCGTGTCAAGTCCGACTAGTTTCTCCTCACACAACCCTGTACCTCCTCTGGGTAAAAGTCTCACACGCTGACGCTAGCACCCATTGCCCCATCACAAGTTTTTTCTTCGGTTGATTGAAATCAAACCTTGAAGATAGTTCCTTCTCTAACAAGGAAATAGTGTGGTTTCTGGGACCACCAATATACTGCTAAGTGAATCTCTAAGGTACTGTTATATAGAAGCCAGCTAGATTTTTTGCAAGCTTAAATGCTATATACTCATTGCATCTTCTTGATGCCTTTTATTAATCCACTTACTTTATCACAAACAAAAAAAAAGAAGAAATCTCCAAGGTACAGTGGGAAGTTCACATGTAAACAGAGTGGAGGAACAAATTTCCAGAGCACAAAAATCAGCGGTGTGTAATCATTTCTGTCATGTCCTCCAAAATTTGAAACAAATCTAATATGAGGCAGCAGAATTGTTTTTTCACAAAATGCTCGTAAGATACTTTGCAATAATATAACATCAAATCCTTGATGGGGAAAAAATAAATTAACTAGTGACCATTTAATCTCATGAGGCATGAAGTCTGAGATGTTTCTTGACGAAGATAGGCAGACAGAGAGCCTTGTCAAGATGCAACTGTTAGTCTGTTAGTAGCGCAATCAGAAAAATTCACACAGAGAAAGAAACACTCCCTCCTTCCAAACTCGAAGTAAACTAGCTAACAGATGTATATGTATATTATACTGTTCTTAATTTAAAAAAATGAGGACAGTTGGGAAACAGCGAACTATTGAAATTGTATCAGACCACTACTTTTTGCCACGTTATTGAAACAAAATCTTTTCATCAGAAATTGACCAGACAAGTAAAAGTTCAGACCTAAGTTTGCTCCTAAAGACATATGTTAGGAACAGCGAAAAGTAAAATATAGAGAGCACATTCTGAAAACAGATAAAAATTATACTTTGCAACTTGCAAAATACCACGAACTCCGCTTGTCAGATCATTATCCCCAGTAGCACGACAGACTACTAAATCTTGAGGGAATTTCTTCATCAAATGATCACTAATCTTTTGACGCGTCAGTGGAACTCTTTCTAGTGCAGTACATGAAAGTTTCATCAGTGGCATAGTAAAGGGTCTGATTCTATCTGCTTCCTACCGTTAAAAGACATTTCAGGACTAGGGTAGCAAAAACACACAACTTACAACTTAAACATCAAGTTAAATGGAAGTAGCAAATTTCCCTTGAAACAACATAAATGGTATCAATGTATACACACACAAAAACACGTGAATAACAAAACAATCAACCCCACAAAAAATTTACAAAAGAATTTCCCAATTACTTCCAGTTTATATACACTGTGAATTTTATCTACAGGTAAACTTCCTTTAAAAATAGGATCTTTAATCATGAAAACAAGACAGGTTAAATGCTCCAACAGGTAGATGGGATAAAAATTTCTTTACACTGACATTGTATATAACTTGAACTCTTCCAAAATATGCTAATGAACCAAAATGCATATGTGAGAAAATCGGGAGAAATGAGAAATAGGGCACCTGGTATTCCCATTCAGCAGCAATAGCTTTAGCAAGAGCTAACGTTGGGCATTTGAGTGGCCGCTTAGAAGGGGTTTTAAGGGTACGATAATCAAGCATAACACTCCAACCAATTCCATCATCAGCTTCTGTAGTTGTTACTTTCTTGTAAAACCTCTTCCCCACAATTGATCCAGTCATGAATGACATAGGCATAGACACAGATGCAGAATCTTGTGATGAAGTCTTTTTTGGACCCTTTATGATAATATTATCATTGGTTGTTGAAGAATTTGGATCTTCACCGTAAAAAGTGAAGGAGGAAGAAGATGGGTCATCTGATGATTCGGCTTGTGCTGAAGTTGCTAAATTACGGAAAATACGGGTTTGAGTAGCGGTTAGGGTTCTAAGGAAGGAAAAGTTTGATGCTTTGCGACTTCTTTTTACGATATCAGCAGCCATAGCTTTGACCGAAGAGGAAGCTGTAGAGAGTTGATCGGTGCACCTGAAGAAGATGCTGTATTTTGCTGCTGCCCATTCTGCTTTGGGCCTAGGCCAATTTATTCTTACATGAAGCAAGCAGGCCTCAATTAAGCAAGTAGGCTCCCTCCTAGAGCCGCCAGAGGCCGATGACGTTCACGTGGTGCAGCCGGAGCACCTGCACGAGCTGCCATAGAGGAGCCACTAGTAGCTCTAGTCGGAGCGCAGGCACCTGAGACGCCCACTACACACCAGCTCTTTAGGAGACCCTTGCACAGTTCCTGAGCATGTACAGTACTCTAGCTCAGGCAGGGTTGATTCCCCTTACTCCTGTCACATCTCAGGCCGGGGGAGGAGCACAGACTCCCGCCGCCCGCACCCCAGAGCAACGGGTTCAGGTCGATCAGATTCCAGAGGTTATACCGGTGCCACTTGTAGCCCCAAATTAGCCCGAGGGTAGGGTAGCAGTTTCTAAGGAGGAGCAGCATAGGCTCGAGAGGTACAAGAAGTACCACCCTCCTACTTTCAATGGTTTGGCGACAGAGGACGCCTAGGGTTTTCTGGAGGAGTGCCACCGTATCCTCTGTACTATGGGCATAGCAGAGTCGAGTGGGGTTTCTTTCACTGCGTTCTAGCTTAGAGGAGCATCCTATAAGTGGTGGCGTGCTTATGAGTTGGACAGTCCGGATGAGGCAGCTTCACTTACATGGACTCAATTCTCGGATATGTTTTTGAGGGAGTATGTTCCCCAGAGCCTCAGAGATGCATGGCGCGCGGAGTTTGAGCAGTTGCGCTAGGGTGCTATGATTGTGTCAGAGTATGCAGTTCGTTTCAGTGATTTGGCTAGACATGCACCGTCCTTGGTTGCTGCAGTTCGAGAGAGGGTCTGCCGGTTTGTCGAGGGGCTCCATCCCAGCATCAGGACTAGCATGGCGCGAGAGTTGGAGATTGATATTTCGTACCGGCAAGTTATGAGTATTGCTAGGAGAGTGGAGGGTAGGGCAGCAGTTTCTGGGGAGGAGCAGCTCAGGCTCGAGAGGTGCAAGAAGTACCACCCTCCCACTTTCAGTGGCTTGGCGTCAGAGGATGTCTAGGGTTTTCTTGAGGAGTGCCACTGTATCCTTCGTACTACAGGTGTAGCGGAGTCGAGTGGGGTTTCTTTCACTACGTTCCAGCTTAGAGGAGTGGCCTATTAGTGGTGGCGTGCTTATGAGTTGGGTAGTCCGGCCGAGGCAGCTTCACTTACTTGGACTCAGTTCTTGGATATGTTCTTGAGGGAGTATGTTCCCCAGGTCTCAGGGATGCTTGGCGCGCAGAGTTTGAGCAGTTGCGCCAGAGTTCTATGACTGTGTCAGAGTATGCGGTTCGTTTCAGTGATCTGGCTAGACATGCACCAACCTTGGTTGCTTCAGTTCGAGAGAGGGTCTATCGGTTTATCGAGGGACTCCATCCCAGTATTAGGATTAGCATGGCTCGGGAGTTGGAGATGGATATTGCATACACACAGGTTGTGGTGATTGCTAGGAGAGTGGAGGGTATGCTTGCTCGAGAGAGAGAGGAGAGGGAGGTCAAAAGGTCTCGAGAGTCTGGCACTTATACTGGTACTCGTGCTCCAGCTACAGTTCGATATGGTAGGGGCTATATGAGTGCCATGTTCATTTAGCTCTTCCAGCCGCCAGTGGTATTCCGACTACTCCTAGGCCCTAGGAGCCTTATTATGCACCGTCAGTATCTAGTGTACCTCCTGCACGGGGTGCTTTCAGCAGTCACCGATCCAGCCACAGTAGCCACGCTCTCCGAGAGCTTGTTTCGAGTGTGGCGACACTCGCCATATGGTGAGGGATTGCCCCAGACTTAAGAGGGGTGCACCTCTACAGACTTCTCAGGCACCGCGTGCTCCACCGGGTCCTCAGGCTATAATTACAGCACCAGCTACTACTCCACTTGCTCAGCCAACTCGAGGTGGAGGTCGGGGAGGTAGAGGTCGCCCTAGAGGGGGAGGCCAAGCCAGATACTATGCTCTTCCTGCTCGTACAGAGGCAGTTGCTTCCGACTCTGTCATTGTAGGTATTATTCCAGTCTGTCATAGAGACGCGTCGGTATTATTTGATCCAGGCTCCACTTATTATTATTATGTGTCATCTTATTTTGCTTCGTGTTTGGGCGTATCCCGTGATTCTATGAGTGCTCCTGTTTATGTGTCTACACCTGTGGGAGATTCTATTATTGTTGACCGTGTGTATCGGTCTTGTTAAATTTTAGTCTTTTATTATTATACTGCGATATTTTTGTGCTGCCATATTTAATATATATATATATATATATATATATATATATATATATATATATATATATATATATATGACCTCGTCACTACTCGACCGAGGTTAGGCTTGGCACTTAATGGGTACCGTTGTGGTATACGCATGCTACTCTTTTGCACATGTTTTTGTGTGCAGATCCAGGTACCTCCTACCAGCCTCGCTTTCAGTTGCATACTTGTTGTTGCTCTGGAGACTTCAAGGTACATCTGCCCGCGTCCGCAGACCTCGGAGTCCCCCTCTATCTCTTTTGTGTTCTTCTTCCTTATTTCTTCTAGATACTGATATATAGAACATTTAGAAAAATCTTAGAAGCTTGTGACTTATGGTGTTCCGGGTCTTGGGGAGGATTTTGTGTATATTTAAGAGTTGATTACTGTATATGCCGAGCGACATCTCTATCGTTTATTTAAATTATCTGTTGTTGTTAGTTGTTAAGGTTTTTGCTTCATTGTTGGTTATTTCCCAAATGTTAGGCTTACCTAGTCGTAGAGACTAGGTGCCGTCACGACATATCACGCAGGGAGGATTTGGGTCGTGACAGTGGCGCGCAACCCGATCCTACCATACAATATCAATATCATAACAATAAACAAAATATGTTGTGGCGCGCAACCCGATCCCACCGTACAACATTAATATCATAATTCACCCTTATTTCACCTGTTGCGGCGTGCAACTCTATCCCACCGTATAATAACAATATCACAATATAAATATCTTCCTTTATTTTACCACCTCCTTTATTTCACCTGCTGCGGCGTGCAATCTGATCCCCCGTACAATAATTTAAATCAACATCAACAATTCAATAACTCCATTTACAAGGATTTCTACAATCAAGGGTTTCAGTATACGGCAACAAAGGAACCACGTAAAAACCGAAGGAATATATCAACTTTATAAAAATGGCAGGACAGGTAAGATACGTGATAACTAGGTACGCAATCACAACAATTAGGACACGTGGCAGATAAGCACAAGGGCATGGAAGAGATTCAACAATTAAGAGGTATCACGATAATAAGGAAGGCAATGACTTCAATTAATGCTATAAGGGCCAATTAACGAGTAAGAAGTACAATAGGTGCTAACAACGTCGAATAGAGCTTATAAGAGTAGACTTACAACGAGATATCACATGTTATGACAATTCATTTAAAGGCATAGCAAGTCACTAGAGAATCTAAACCGGTCAAATACCACGTATAAGTTGTGTACTGATCGAGGCCGACCCTGCACTACTATTGAGTAGCGAGAGTGGTCGAAGCAGCTTTTACCCGATTAAGGTCGGGATCGAGGCCGACCCTGCACTACTATTTGCTCCAAATTGCACTTATACACATTGTTGGTTTTGATTATGATTCTAATTTTATAAAACTACAATGCTCAATTAAACTAAAATAAGCTAGGGTTAAACTATTGCGAGTTGTTCAAATGATTAAAAGGCACTAGGGTAGTGACTTTCGCCTAGGTGGTCAATTGACGGATTCTTGAGTCTAAAGCTAGGTTGTCACATTTGGGGAGTATGATATAACCATTGCTCGATTCTACTCACTCTATACCCCTCGGTAGTTCGAGTGATTTTGCCCGAATTGACTTTCTCAAGACCAATTGGGTATGCAAATTTGCACAAGCAATTAAGGTTCAAGTCAGGTATTATTATCTCTAGGTTTAGCCCTTTAATTGGGGCTATCAATCTCTTGAGTATGCCCCAATTCCTTGTTGGACCAATTTCAGAGACTTAGGCTCTCTTTCTCATGAAGAGCCAAAGGCAACTAAACACAAACTAGTGTTTGCAACCACTAATTCAGCAATTAAACATGAAATTAGTCCAAATATCAAACACCCATAGTCAATCAAGCCCTAAAACATAAGACCCATCAATCACCCATACTAGGGTTGAGCCACAACCCTAGCTGATGGGTCTAGCTACTCATAATTTAAGAGAAAAACAAAGAAATAAATGAAGATAAACTCATAATAATTAATTACTAAATAGAACTTGAAGATTCAATGATGAAATTAAGCTAAAATTACTCAAAATAGCAAAAGAAACGAAGTCACGAGTGTAGCTCTACGTACAAAACTATCTGATGACCTAAAAATGGGAAAAGAATCTATTTATAACTAGGCTGAAAATCTCGGACAAAAATACCCCTGCGGGACTAGTGCGGACCGCACAAAATCAAGTGCGGCCGCACTAAGGCTCTTGACTTGAATATACAGCTCTCTGAACTTGGGCAATGCGGACCGCACAAAGTCTAGTGCGGCCGCGATGGCTTCTAGTGTGGTCCGCATGAAATGGAGCGTGGACCGCATTGGGCTTCAATCTTCAAACAGGCATCTCTCTGAAACATGGCTCTGCGGACCGCACTAAATCGAGTGCGGCCGCAGTGACTCCAATGCGGACCGCAGAAAATCCTGTGCGGCCGCATTGCCTTTTTGGCCTGAGATGCACACTCTCTGAACTTCACTTGTGCGGACCGCATGAAATGGTGTGCGGCCGCACTGGCCCTGTTTGACTGAGCTTTGCCTTGTTTTGGTACTTGTGCAAGTTTCACTCCTTTTTGAGCTGGTATTTGACACATTGTCACCTTGTTGATCAAACCTACAATCAAGCACAACTTGTGAGCCTTTGGGACTATTTTGTACACATTTCTAATCTACACTTGAGCATCAAGTAGTGTAAAATGCATCATATTCCCTAGTTATCAACTCCCCCAAACTTAAGCTTTTGCTTGTCCTCAAGCAAACAAAATAAGACCCACCCCTTAAGGGAAAATCCAAGAAAATTCA